TATTAGGCTGCATATAATAGTTATTCAGGGCCTGACGGCCGGCTGATAAGGAGAGTCAACCGACCGATAGAGCCATCCGAGGTCATTCCAAAGAGTTCCATGGTGAGAGGCCTTGTTTTGACCGGCTGAACATCACCATCAACAGACTGAAAGCCCAGGTCAGCCGACCGACCAGGTAGGTTAGCTGAACTATTAACCGTGTCAGACCGACCATTGAATCAGCCGAATGATCAACTGTGTTAGAACGAACAACCATATATGTTAGAATGACCGACCACGCAAGTCAGAAAGACCGACCACGTAGATCAGACCGACCAACCATGTAGGCCAGCCGAACGATTATGCCCTGTCAGCCGACTGACCAAGGGCTATCAGCTGGCCGACCTTTCCTCACAGACTTGCATATTTGACCCTTTTTGTAAGGTTGTGTCTTATAGCATTTTAGACAAATGAATTGACTCGTCTGACATTTATAGACACAGGAAATGGATGGTATGATCTAGTTAACCTCAGGTCCGAGTAAGGACCCGTTAACGGTTTGGACCCATGGGCTCGGGCTGTTACAGTGCCAGTGCACTTATGCTTCCAGGACCTTTAGATGATGCTGTCATGGCAGCCATAGAAAAACTATTGTCTTATCTTGCTCATGATGTGGAAGATGTTATGTTTTTCCATTAGAATCTGGCCAGCACTATAATCACTTCTAAAAAACATTCTGGATTTCCTGAACATGTCCAAGCTTCCTTGAACAAATTGCAACATCAGCTCCAATTCATCGTTGTCTACGTGAGTTCTAGTTTTTCCGCAATTGTTGAGTGTGAAAAGTAAGCTAGGCTTAAAAATAAAGCCTTTGAGGATTTCCACCTTGCATTGGAGCCTTACCTAGAAATTAAGGAGAAAGCTGAGAAGCTCATGGCTAAGAAGGAAGAGTTAAACGAGGAACTAGCTAGGATTCAAAAGGAATTGGAACAGGTGGAACATGAAGAATTTGATTTGGACCAAACAGTTAATGCCATTGTTAATGCATCAAAGTCTTTAAGGAAGGAATGGGAAAGGCTGGTTAACGAATTTCCACAATTTGAAGATGCTAAGGCCAAAGCACTGGCTACTCTTCAAGAATCAAGAAAGCTTTGGTTGGAACTTAGAGGTAGCCTTGCCTCCATTTGATCTCATGTGGTTCTTTTGTGTTTATTGTGGTTGTTTTTTGAAAACTTATGGGTTTTTTGGATAATGGTAGGAAATAAGTAGATAACTTTTGAAATCATTTGCATCACCAGCTTTTGGGGTTAGCAGCCATTTTTGGAGCATTTAATGAAATCAAATATCTAAGTATTGAATGTAAGTAATGTTTATTTCCAATTTCCTTTACATGTGCCTCTTATAAAATTGTATGAAAATTTTCTAAGTCATTAAAACTGAAAATTCCTTCACATATATTAACAATAAGGCCTAGTCATAAAATGACTTTCCATAACAAAGGATTTCAGAGAATAAACGGAATTGCTAACATGAAAAAGCACAAGCAAGATGAGTAATCCCCAGTATGAGTAGAACCTGAACCATGTAGTGTGATAAGTGCTGAAAAGTGCGTATTTAAACCCTTTAATCTTGAATGTCCTGGGACCTTATTCTATCTTATTTTTCAGTTTTAGCCTAATTTCATGTTACTTCCTTTTTCAGGCACCAATCCCCAAAATAAGTCAATTTAGCTGAATTAGAGCATTAAAAGAAGCATTGTCAAGCCTAGTGGAAGAAAGGAGCAAAATGGAAGCAATATGGTAAAAAAGCCCTCTACGATTGATCGGACCGAGCTATGATCGATCACACTATGAGCGTTCCAATCCTGCCATGATAGATCGAGCCCTTTGTCCTTATCCTCAGAAAAATATTCTTTTTGATCGATCCAACCTATCATTTGATTGATCGAACCTTTTGATCTTATCCTTACCTACCACTTTTATCTTTTTCCCAAAAATATCTCAGCTTTGTCCTAATCCAAAAAGTGCGCCGCTATGCTGCGATCGATCAGAGCAACCATATGATCGATCGAACTGCCTCAAATTGTGTGAAAAACATATTTCAAGCTGAATTGAAGGTGTGCTCGTGGTGCAATCATTTGGAGGTCCTAGTGCACAAGGTCTGACCATTGAGTGTGACATTTGAGCTACCTATATAAGGATTTTGGCTATTTTTAGCAAAATGGTTATTTAGATAGGGAGAGAATTGGCTAGAGATTAGAGAAAGAAACATACATTTTGGGAAAGTTCTTCTACTCATCTAGGGTTTCTACCAAGAATACCAAGGGTGAAGGATGAATTCTGCCATGAAGATAGCCCTTGAAGGTTGGATGACAACATCAATGAGTGGCTAAACTACTCTCTTGGGGCTAGAGATAGCCCTAAGCATGTCTTATAGACCATGATGATTTGCAATTAGTGGGATTTGTGTTGTAATTCTTGTTTTAACCTCTTATATATATAAATTTTGTTTCTACATGATTTGTGTAGTTTAATTCTTTCAATTGATCATTTAATTCTATCCATATGTCTATGTATGCTAAAATGAATGTTCATGTATTCTTTTCTAGATTTTGTGGCATTGGTGCATGTCTATATGTGTTGATATTATGAATCTATTGATGGTCAAAGCATGGTGCTTAATGGATTACTCTTGTAATTTATTTAATGGTTCATACTTATTTCTTTATGGATTGTACCACCTCATTAGTTTAAGTAGTTTAATTTTTCATGTTATTTGCATAGTTATAGTATAATTGCTTTAATTTCGTAGATAGGTGGACAATCCATTCTTATTGTTTGATGTTCCATGCTTATGAGTACAAGTAGTATATTTCTCTAATTTATTGAGTGTGCATTAATTGTGGGCTTATGAAAAGAATAATGGCTTAATTTGATATGTTGTGTTATTCACTAGATTGAATAAACAATATATGATTACTTGGCTATCCTTGGTCTGCAAAATTTCCAACAAAGGTCCTTCCACTAAATTTGAATTGACTAGAGAAAGTTTGATGATCTCATTTGACAAGGGTATGTTAATGGATAGTTTTGAGTTTTAGGGGTTCTTATTGCACACTGGGTTTTAGGTAGGTCTGGAGGGAAAAATCTCCTTACCAATGAGAACCAACCACGTCAACAAATGAATTTTAACTTATTTATTTTTGGGCCATATGACTTTCGAAGCCCAGTTCAATCAAGCCCAAATGAGCCTTTGTCAACCCATCACAGGATAAGCCTAATCTATTCTCGGTCAAAGATACAGCTTGGACAAACATTATCCTTGATTCAGATCAGATCAATCACAGCATAAAATGAGCCTCACATGGAAGGAACTATCTGAAGAAAGAGCCTTGTATAGAAGAAAAACTCCATATGGAACAAAATGTAAAAGATAATGATGATTAAAATCGTGAGAGACAAGCAAGGCGAGTCTTACCATAATTTTATTATCTAATCTTGTATAAATTGGGGCATGAGCCAGCAATAAAGATCATTGAAAATTTTCAATCTCTATTACGCTTTATTTTTATTGTTTTCATTAAGTGTTTTGTTTTCATCCTTCAACTCATCAGAGTTGATGAATTTTTGCACCTATAGTAGGGTTTAAGGGTATGTTAATGGGAGAGAAAGAAATCGGATGGAAGGAGATGTGTGAAAAGAAAATCTAAAGAATGTTGCTTTTTTTTTTTTTTTTTTTTTTTTTTAATTACATACATAGATATAGATATACATAGATCCCTATGGAATGCAGGGGTGCTTCCCACCATTGCTTGATGGAATTTATTCTTTTTGTTTAGTTTAAAGGAACTAGCTTTGTTCTCTTGAGTGAGAGTGAGTGAGAGTGGTGTGGGGACTGAGAGGAAGGGTTGCATAGATGGGAGAGAGTTTGATTGGCTCTTGGGATAATATTTCTTCATGATTTCTGCAACTAAGACTACATAAAACCAATAGGGGGTGGTAGGAAAGATATTTCTTTTGAAATGATCAATTTATTTGTTACCCAATTCATTGAGTTTTCTTAAAACATAAAACATAGTTTCTAATACGTTAAATGTTTTATTTCAGGTTGTACGGAAAGAATGATGATACTTGGAGGATAACAAGGATGATACACGGAGTCATCATTTATTTTTATTTTTTTACAATTTGATGCAAATACTAAGGATTTGAGACATTAAAAAATCTTTTATTTCCCTTGTTATTGAGACAGTTACACTCATAAATGTATTGTAATTCTTTATTTTTTTTTTTATTATTATTTTTTACATTGTTGTGGATTGGGTTTATTTGGATAGAAAATTTGGTTTATGAATGGGTTGACCTTGATTATAGGAACTTCTTTTTTAAAAAAAAAAAAAATTGCTTCATTTAAATATATTGTTATAACCTTTTAAAAAAAGTATCATTTTTCACACCATTTATATATATAAATACTACCAAGTGGCTATGGCAGCATTTTTTTTTTTTTTTCTTTTACTTTTAACATCAAATAGAATTGTTGTTAGAGACAATAAGTGTTGTAGAGTATATAAAAACATTCAAGCACAGACTCTATTAAGACAAAATGTTAATAAGAAACCTAAAAATTTTCTTTGTTGTGCTGTACAAAATCCCAATAAGACGTTATTTCTTTGTTTCGAACTCGTAACCTCCAAACTACGATAAAGCAACTTTTACTATTGAAGGTTCTAGCTAATTGTAATCTCTCTTTTCACTTAATCAATATTTTCTTCCTCTTTGTCAAGAAATTAATATTAAATAAAATAAAATAAAATAAAACAAAATAAGGATCCTGAAAGCTTTTTAGGGTTCGTTGAGAGTACCCACTTCCTCATAAAAGCTCAATAAATTCAACAAGGTATCAACATATTCCTGCACTACATAGCTGGCTTAACAAAGGAAAATAGCATTCAAAAATCACTTCAAGATTGGAGAAAAGTGGAAACTCCTAGACCCGTGACACAATACCTATCATAACTTCTAATAATGGATAGCTACAACATTCACCTCGATAATAGCATTACCCTTAGTACGATTATATAAATAAGTATTCAATGTAACAACTCCACGTGCCAACCGGAAAATGCCAGAGCCACCAACAATGGACAGTTCACGGTACTGATGCAACAGTGGGTTGCTGCCCATGACAGCGAGAGTGCTACCATTGTAATCTCCATCTGTGAAGAAAAAGTTCACAGCCATGATTAGGCTAAATTCGGAAAGGGATGCTGAACCATAAAGCCCCTCGAATCGGCCCACGGGTTTGGAAGATGGTTCCGGCCCAACTGTTAATAGGTCATCCATCATATAAACCTCGCCGAACAAGGTGGGTGAGGTATTGGATGTGTTGGCTTGGGCCACTTGTATAGCGGTTGGGCTCTTCCCATTTGACAAGTCATGGAAGTAGAAATGAAGCTTGGTCACCTTTTCCTTTGCATGGCTGAGTTTTCCGAACCACTCTTCCACTGCTTCCGGCCATTGAGCAATGCTACGAACCACCGGCGTGACTATGAACATTGAGCAAATCAATAGAGTCATGGGTAGCTTTTCCAT